TGTAATGCATAAATATTATACAAAGTTACAAAAATTTACATAATAGTTTTTTTTTTAAATAAAGATTAAATGGAACAAAGGAATTAACCTACTGGACAAAAGTTAAAGAACGACGTTAATAATTTGCATAAACTTTTAATTCACATTGTTAAAAAACTTGATGGATCTTTTCAACAATAAGTAAAAGTTCATTTATCATTAGGACTTTATTTTTAAGCAATATGGCAAATTCTACACGCAAAACGCTCTCTTTTGAAGAAAAAACTCATTATCGCTATAAAGAAAAAAATCAATTTCATAAATTTCTGATATTGTTCATAGGTCTAAAAGTGTCGTTCATCGTGTAATTAGCAGGTATAAAACCGATAAAACGTTAGATGCAAAATCAAAAACCGGCAGACCTCCAAAAACATCGCAAAGAGAAGATCGAAGAATTGTTAAAACACCTACAAAAAGCCGTTTTGAAACTGCTACATCAATCGCCCGTACATTTAATGAAGAGACAGATAATAAGATCTCAAGGAAATTGCTCGCAGGTTAAAAAAGGCAGGATTGCATGCCCGTATTCCAGCTTCGAAGCCTCTCATTTCAATGCGAAACCAAAGGGCACGCCTGGAGTATGCGAGAGAACATGTTTGGACTGACGCACAATGGGATACAGTTCATGTCCAAGTTTACTATATTTGGTTCTGAGGGCAAAACTTACGCCGTAGAACAGGTGAAAGACTGTCTTCTCAATGTGTCAAGAAAACCGTTAAGATTGATGGGGGCAGTGTGATGGTGTGGGGAATGAATTCATCTGCAGGAGTTGGCCCTATCATTCGCGTACATGGCAATAGCAACGCTGAGATTTACAAAAGGCTTCTTCAGCAGCATGTGGTACCAAGATTACACCATAATCTTTATGAATCTCCTATTTTCATGCAGGACAATGCACCTTGCCACAAGGCTCAGAAGGTTATGGCTTTATTTGAAGAAGAAGGAATCGCCATAGTGAAGTGGACAGCCCAGAGCCCCGACCTGAATCCAATAGAAAATGTTTGGAAGATAATTTGGAGAAAGGGCTCAGAAAAGAAACTCGAAAAAAACAGGATCACCTATGGGAGTTATTGAAAGACAAATGGGAGGGAATTACTGCTGATTTTTGCAAGAAATTAATTAGACCATGTGGTCGACGATGCAGAGAAGTCATTGAAAATAAGGGGATGTTTACCAAATATTAAATATTGTTGATATTTTGTTCACAATCAAGTATTAACAAGATCGTTCCTTAATTTTTGACCAGTAGGTTATTTCCTTTGTTTCATTTAATATTTATTTAAAAAAATAACTATTATGTAAATTTTTGTAACTTTGTATAATATTTATGCATTACATCCTAATCTTTATTCGGTAAAAATTTCATTGCTAATCATGCATTACTTTTTAAGTAATACACATATTTATGTCTTTGTTGTTTCTGTTCCTTATATTATGACCGCTACTGTACATCAAACCTACTAATGGTCATTGCTACCTTAATTTCAATAGCGGTCACGCCACCAACCTATAAAATCTATAATGTACAACCAATGTTTACACATTAAACGCATCTGTTATCACAAGGAAGATTACAATTTACACATAGGACAGCTTTGTAATCACTTTCTTAACAGGAATTACCTTCTCAAAATAATCGAAGAATCTATCACCAAAGCTTCCAAACTTACCAGCAACACTCCCCTCAACTATTTAACTAAAAAGAACTCCAGAATCCCCATGGTCTTCAATTATAATTATAACATCCACAAAATTTTCCCACACTTTAACTAAAGATTTCCAACACTTAAAATTAGACAATACTGTTAGGAATTCATTTAGCGATAACCCTCTACAGGCAAGACGACAGCGACCCAAACTCTTCAGACTTTTGACACCATCAAAAATCTGAAAAACATCACCTCACCAAGGGAATATCATCTGCAACGAACTCAGTGCCTGGTCCGCAAAGACATCATGACTCACAACATTTACACATACCCCGGTAGTCACGTAGAATTCACACCACTTGCTCTAGGCTGTGACAGTTCCAGTCTGGTATATTTACTTTTCTGGTACAAATGCGAGAAGGAGAAGTATGTGGGAGAAACCGAAACAGATTTCTGTTTACGGTTCAGTAACCACAAGAAAAAGCATCAGGGACAACAACAATAATAAACCGTCTCTGTACACTTCAACCAACCTGGTCATAGCATCGACGATGTCGGGTGCGTGCTTTTAGCGCCGGGGTTCGGTAGCAGGCCGGATAGACGAAAATCGAAGTTTAAATATATACTAAAAGCAAATTCCCACATAAAGGGACTAAACAGAGTTTTGGGTTTACTCAAAGAGTATAGATTTCACAAGGTAACCCATTATCAGCAACACCACTCCTCGGATGAGTAGGCCCTCCGCCTACATTTTAACTCCAAATTTTAGCAATCATCACCTACCTACTATATTTTTATGTTCTGCCATCTAGGATTTCCCTCATTACGCACCATTTTAATAATGGAAGTATTACCATGTACACTGGGGGCTATTTTCCAGTCGCCTTCTTTTATAACATTATTGGTTCTATCACTATGGCTCTTTTCTATGTAAGCTTATGTAAGGAGTGCGGAAGGTTAGTGTAGAGACATTAATCTTGTATATATATTTATATCTTTACGTCTATTGAAATTCATGTTTGTGTGGTGGCTTGTGTATATTTGCACACTGTTACGTGCACTTATGGATGCATGTGTATCTATCTATATATATATATATATATATATATATATATATATATATATATATATATATATATGTGTGTGTGTGTGTGTGTGTGTGTGTGTGTGTTTGTTTGTTTTCTCTCTGTTTTTCCTTTATTATTTTATCTTATTTTCTCCATCCGGCTTTTTTCAACGATAGATTTACAAATTTTCATCCAAAATTTTTTATCCATTTTTTGTTTCATTTAATAATATTTTATTACTATATATTCCTTTTTGTTCCACTTCACTTTTACTTCTAGTCGCATGTCACTCTCACTACAGCCCGTCTTTCTGTCATTTGACAACTTGGTCGAACAATTTTCGGCTACAACTGGCTACACGCGAGACGTCTTTCCTCCTCCTCCTCCACCTCCACCTCCGCAACTCGTAACTCGCTTTATCTATGTTTACTATCTTGCTCCCCCACTCCTCCTCTTACTAATAATAGACCGGCCTAACGTTTTTACCTCGATGAAAATTTTAAATTAAAGTTTATTTTCATAAAAAGTTTCGCACAGCGAGGAATCAGGCAGAGATCGGAATTTTGCTAATAATATGATTTCCTACAAAAAACACCGTCTACAAAAGCATCTATCGGCGAGTAATTAGCATTTCTCTGTTTATTTCTCGCTCCGTTGATGAATGACACAAGTGTGTCCGAAAATTCCGAATTTAAACTTTTCTCTCCGTGCTTTATTTCTGTCATATAGTTAATAATTAATATTTAATAAATGTTTATTGTACTGATTATGTTGGTAGCCTTTCGTTTGCCCTTGTTTTATTATATATATGTGTGTGTGTGTGTGTGTGTGCGTGTGATTAAATAATATAGACAAGTTTTTTCTATGTATTTTAAGTAAATTCTTTCCATATTGTCGAATAAGTTTTTTAGCATTATCACGGAAACACGAAAGAAAATCACTGTGTTGATACATGTTTTTATTGTCAATCCTGTCTATGCTTTCTCGGTTTAAATAAGCCATCATCAGAGACTACAAGTACATTACAATAAATTAAATAATAAATCATATAACAAAGATGGTAATATTTTGTTTTAGAATAGTTATGCGGACATTGTAACAATGATAGTTTGTTTTATTTGCATGGAAGATTGCTGTGCAACGATAAATTCGTGCATATGAAACGCAGGAAGCAAAATATCGCATTATGGTTCATGACGTCACACACACACACACACACACATATATATATATATATATATATATATATATATATATATATATATAAGCGTTTCACTCCAAGCAAGGCGGGAAGCCACTAGGACGCAAGGGGTTACAGAAGATTTGGAGCAAGATCAGATAGGAGTGATAGAGAAAAGGATGAGGAGAAGGGTAGTGGATAGATCAAGACAACGTCGATTGACATTGCATTTGAATAGTTGGAGATTATAGCTCTCAATAGAATCTCAATATTCTTCTGGAATAGGGAAGGGAGTTCTACAGGCGAGAGGTGCGAGATATGAAGCTATTGGAGTAGATGAGACGGCTACATTTAATAGTTTCGAGAGTGAAAGGGTGAGAGCGGGATGCCAGCCTCGTAGGGCGCTTGAATTCACGAAGTCTGGGAACCAGTGAATGCAGCTCTTCGGAGAGTGACTGTAGGCGACATGCCAGAACAGGGCCAATTATATTGCATATCCGTCTCTGGCAAACAGAAGGGGCTCCAGACCATATATGGCAGCAATACTCCATGCAAGGGCGAATTGTTGATTTATAGATCTGAAGGATCGATTCCGGGGAGAAAATTTTATATATATATTTTAAATATGTATATACTTATACTTATCAAGCTAGAAATGTGGATACAGCCACATATTCTTGTGGGAATTTTATTCGAGATTCTCTCGTGCTACCTATGGCACCGAAGAGGACCATCCCACTGGACACCATTGATTTCATTACTGTAATTTCCTCAGGTCTCTCTATGCGTTTATATGTATTCACAGATTAATGTCAGCGGATATTTTCCAAATCATCCTAACTTATCTCCGCACAATAAAACTAGATGAAGCAATCCAAAATGATTTACTTTAATCTGCATCTCTGCTTCATTGGCCAAAGCACCACCTGCCACCCGTTAACCCTCCCTGCTTCAACGGTTGTCACAATAACTCACTGATTGGTTATCTTGTCCCTGCCATTACGCTCGTCAGTATGGGTGACAGTCACGTTTTTTCTGAGACATAAAATAACACCGAATCTGACT